GTGTGCGTGTGTGCGTGTGTTTGCAGTTGGAGGGGGAGGCGTGGTGAGGTGGCCCAACCTGTGGTGCGACGGACCCGACACCAGCAGAGAGGCCCGACGCAGGGACCGAGGTAAGGCGAGACACGAGCAAAGGGAGGCGAACGGGGGGACAAGTGGGAGGAGGGAAGCGCTGGCCTCGGGGCCGGGCAAGCATGCCAGGCAGGCGGGGGCCCCTTGGGGTGTCTGGCAGTTGCCTGGGGTGCGGGCCGGCGGGCTGGCCGAGATTGCGCGGGAACACCGCATCCGGACATCCGGGCGTACGCCGGCCACCTCCGTCCGAGGCGCATGTACACACACACACACACACACACACAGACACGCACAACAGGGCAGGTAAACAAATTCTCGCGGAGATCGGCGCAGGGCTTGGCGGCCCGACCGGGGTTATATTGCCCGCATTGCCCCGCAGGGGGCCCCTGCCAATATGTCCGGCCTCGGCCCCCATGTGCCAGCCGGGGGACCGGGCGACCCTGCCACCGGCGCGGCCACAAAGCGCCCGGGGCTGAGAACAATCGGCACAGGGGCTCCCCCGCTTCAAGCGACATTCCCTGGTCCCCGCTCCCCGCTCCCCGCTCCCCCGCCGCCGCCCCCTTCCCGCGCCTGTGGCGGGAGGCCGCCGAGCGGGCCGCCGCAAAAGCCCCCCCAGTGCCAATCCATCCTGGGGCCGGGCGGCGCATGCCAACCGACCTGCTGCCCCGGGCCGCCCCGCTGGCAGGCCGCCGCAAAAGCCCGTGTGGGTTTAAATTGGCCGTTACCGCCAGCCCAGCGGGCCTGGGAGGCGCGCCAGTTCCCCCGCCCCCCCCCCCCCCCCCCCCCCCCCCGCCCCCCTTGTCTACCCTGCAATCGGCCCCCGCTCTTCCTCCGGCCTTCTCCCCCTCGCCCCCCTCGCCCATCCTCCTGCCCCCTGCTTAGTGACCTTGAAGAATGGGTATCCGCGGCCTCTCGCAGCTGATTGCCGACGTCGCCGGCACGGCGGTCCGGCACATGGAGATCAAGCATCTGTTCGGCCGGAAGATCGCCATCGACGCGTCGATGTCCATCTACCAGTTCCTGATCGCCGTGCGCCAGGCCGACGGCGGTGTGCTGACCAATGACTCGGGCCAGGTCACCAGGTGCGCCGGCCGAGCGCCCGCCCGCTTTCTTGTCTTTCCCTCCCCGCCTCTTCTGTCGGGCGTTGGCCCTCCGATTTCCCCAGGCGGTCTCCCCCCCCCCCCCCCCCTCTCTCCTTTGCTCCGGAGCCCCG